CATTACCGACACACATTTTCATAGAGTAGAAACCAGGATACGAGCAGGGTATTTATTATCAAGATATCTCTACAGCAGTAATTTCGCTTTAATTGATGCGTAAGTGAAATGCATCTTTAATTGTTCAGAGTGTTTAAAACAATTAGACTGTCGAACAGTGCTATATATATACACATTTTTTTATAGATGAATGATAGCACAGTACTAATTGAGGTGGTGTTTTACCTACCTGTAAATGGAATTGAGAGCTTCGGAAAGATCCCGTCATTTTTCTTGTTAATTTCCTTTTGTCATTAAAGAGTTGAACTTAATTAAAATAAACAAAAATTATCTGGTGTGAATTTTCTATAACAGACCGAAATAGAAACAGCAATAATGACATGGAAATGGTTTACAGTAATTGAAATTTGAAGTGTTTGAAGACTGATGATAAAGGTATGTCTGTGGCTGTATATATCTCGTGTTCAATTTTTATGCCCGTGCCATTTAGTGTTTGGGGCATATATATAACGCTAGTGTAAAGTTACCCATGTCTGTTATCCTTATGTGTCTACTATTCATTAGTTAGATGGGGTTTGTCCTTTGTCCTTGAGTCTAATGTGTCCTTTGTCCTTGAGTCTAATGTGTCCTTTTTCTCAATCAATATTGCTAAACTGTCCAAAGGATTTTGTTATTACAATAAAAATACATAATAAATAGACTCTCTACAATCCAGAGCTTTTAGCAAACCAGCAAAATGTTTTGGTCGTACAGGGTGTCTAGTTTAGATAGAGTTCACTAACGGAGTCTATCATTAATCAATGTTGTGAGACAAGACGGGGACAATACACTCATTCCTGGTTACATACAACTAAGACTGGGACAGTACACTCATTCCTGGTAACATACAACTAAGACAGGGACAGTACACTCATTCCTGGTTACATACAACTAAGACAGGGACAGTACACTCATTCCTGGTTACATACAACTAAGACAGGGACAGTACACTCATTCCTGGTTACATACAACTAAGACAGGGACAGTACACTCATTCCTGGTTACATACAACTAAGACAGGGACAGTACACTCATTCCTGGTTACATACAACTAAGACGGGGACAGTACACTCATTCCTGGTTACATACAACTAAGACGGGGACAGTACACTCATTCCTGGTTACATACAACTAAGACGGGGACAGTACACTCATTCCTGGTTACATACAACTAAGACGGGGACAGTACACTCATTCCTGGTTACATACAACTAAGACGGGGACAGTACACTCATTCCTGGTTACATACAACTAAGACGGGGACAGTACACTCATTCCTGGTTACATACAACTAAGACGGGGACAGTACACTCATTCCTGGTTACATACAACTAAGACGGGGACAGTACACTCATTCCTGGTTACATACAACTAAGACGGGGACAGTACACTCATTCCTGGTTACATACAACTAAGACGGGGACAGTACACTCATTCCTGGTTACATACAACTAAGACGGGGACAGTACACTCATTCCTGGTTACATACAACTAAGACGGGGACAGTACACTCATTCCTGGTTACATACAACTAAGACGGGGACAGTACACTCATTCCTGGTTACATACAACTAAGACGGGGACAGTACACTCATTCCTGGTTACATACAACTAAGACGGGGACAGTACACTCATTCCTGGTTACATACAACTAAGACGGGGACAGTACACTCATTCCTGGTTACATACAACTAAGACGGGGACAGTACACTCATTCCTGGTTACATACAACTAAGACGGGGACAGTACACTCATTCCTGGTTACATACAACTAAGACGGGGACAGTACACTCATTCCTGGTTACATACAACTAAGACGGGGACAGTACACTCATTCCTGGTTACATACAACTAAGACGGGGACAGTACACTCATTCCTGGTTACATACAACTAAGACGGGGACAGTACACTCATTCCTGGTTACATACAACTAAGACGGGGACAGTACACTCATTCCTGGTTACATACAACTAAGACGGGGACAGTACACTCATTCCTGGTTACATACAACTAAGACGGGGACAGTACACTCATTCCTGGTTACATACAACTAAGACGGGGACAGTACACTCATTCCTGGTTACATACAACTAAGACGGGGACAGTACACTCATTCCTGGTTACATACAACTAAGACGGGGACAGTACACTCATTCCTGGTTACATACAACTAAGACGGGGACAGTACACTCATTCCTGGTTACATACAACTAAGACGGGGACAGTACACTCATTCCTGGTTACATACAACTAAGACGGGGACAGTACACTCATTCCTGGTTACATACAACTAAGACGGGGACAGTACACTCATTCCTGGTTACATACAACTAAGACGGGGACAGTACACTCATTCCTGGTTACATACAACTAAGACGGGGACAGTACACTCATTCCTGGTTACATACAACTAAGACGGGGACAGTACACTCATTCCTGGTTACATACAACTAAGACGGGGACAGTACACTCATTCCTGGTTACATACAACTAAGACGGGGACAGTACACTCATTCCTGGTTACATACAACTAAGACGGGGACAGTACACTCATTCCTGGTTACATACAACTAAGACGGGGACAGTACACTCATTCCTGGTTACATACAACTAAGACGGGGACAGTACACTCATTCCTGGTTACATACAACTAAGACGGGGACAGTACACTCATTCCTGGTTACATACAACTAAGACGGGGACAGTACACTCATTCCTGGTTACATACAACTAAGACGGGGACAGTACACTCATTCCTGGTTACATACAACTAAGACGGGGACAGTACACTCATTCCTGGTTACATACAACTAAGACGGGGACAGTACACTCATTCCTGGTTACATACAACTAAGACGGGGACAGTACACTCATTCCTGGTTACATACAACTAAGACGGGGACAGTACACTCATTCCTGGTTACATACAACTAAGACGGGGACAGTACACTCATTCCTGGTTACATACAACTAAGACGGGGACAGTACACTCATTCCTGGTTACATACAACTAAGACGGGGACAGTACACTCATTCCTGGTTACATACAACTAAGACGGGGACAGTACACTCATTCCTGGTAAAATGATGGCACTGTGTTGATCTGCCTTAAGTTATAATAAAGATCGTGTACCACTGCCAAAAACTTAAACTATGGCTGGAAGCTGTTATATCTGGAATGGCTTATATAAAGCTTAGACAAATCATTTCTGAAAACAATCGTAACAGGAAAGAGAAAAGTGTGCCTCCACCAGGGATCGAAAACATGATCCCAAGGGTCCTATTCGGACACTCTCACCGAGCTAAAGGGAAATTATCTTTTGCTCGAAGCTAGAAGACGACCGTAATCTTATGTACAATTAAAACCACCACATTTTATACCTTGCGGGACTTTTATGAAAAATAATAAAGCTGAAATAAACAAAACAGAAGTGTCCTTGCCCAACTGTGCTACAGTTATATCTGAAACAAAATTAACGCGAGGTTACTATTTATACGAAAAACCACTGTGAAGTGGGACAGGGATCCTTGATATCACATGTTTTGTGGCTGTATATAATAAGACAGCCGTATGTCCTTGAACGTACTACATATGTCATAATTTGTTACATAATTATTCTTATCGTCTTCATAGTGATAATTAAGTTTCAAATTACTTATACTGATGGAGAGATAACGTCTAAATAGATCGTAATTGTATAATTTTATATAACTGATCATGTGGCGATGATTAACCGTCATGCTTACATTGACGTGTCAAAGATATCATCTCGGGTTTACGTAAGTCATGTGATTGATGTACAAGTTTGTTAAAGATTTAAAGCCCAAAGTCTTCATTAATTTATTATTTATAGATTAGGTCATTATATCAGTCAGTGTTCCTAGACTCGCTGTTCCCTGTCTTGTCCTCAGTATTAGATACTGATATATCACTGATGTCTACGTTTATGGGTAGGGAGAGGCTGCAACACTCGATGTTCCCTGTCTTGTCCTCAGTATTAGAGACTGATATATCACTGATGTCTACGTTTATGGGTAGGGAGAGGCTGCAACAAATAAGGATTGTGCCCAATCGGCACATGACTTTTACAACCATTTCTCCTAGAGCTGTCATATGCGTAATTTCGTCACCCTGTGTGCCATGTGATATTTTCTGTGAAAGCCTTGTGATATCAGTAATAAATTGTTTTACAGACTAGTTTTGTCATTATTGTAGTCATCACATCACGTTTAGAAAATGTTCGTTTTACTTCTTTTAATGTGTTATCGGAAAAAGGAAAAACCAAATATTCACCTCTTGATAATTTATTTCTATTTACTTCTATTGGAGTGTGTTGATCTCTCCAATAATAATAAATGGTGTTCAGACTGAAATAAAAATCACAAGTTAGATATTCTTCATCCATGTAACTCATAATTTTGGGGGTAGAGTTATTTTCTTGCTCATTGGTTTAGATAAAGCGGGAAACTAAATCATTTCCAGGGGCAGATGTATTCAAACTCTAACATTAATAAAGCTTTATTTTGGGAATACTTGTCTTATCAAACTTTTTAACAAAAAGTCTGAACCATGTATTACATGTCAATACATTCGTGTTTGTTCCACAACTGTTATCTGGGTCAGTGTTCATTGGATATCATAGATCTAACAGATATGCATGTTCCGTGCACCGAGTAACTCAGATCGGTTATAATAGCACAGACTGCAGTACCAAGCAGCAGGGGTGAAGGTCATCGAAGATTTTAGAAGGATAAAACCACTATCAAAGGATCGGTTTACCAAGATTCAAGCGTCAGTTTGAAATGTGAAACTTGATTAGATGTCAATAATGGCGGAGTCTCGCTACATTTCAGTAACAATTGGCACGATTAATGATTTATCTTAATGGAGGTAGTCAATTCAAGATTGTTAACATGTTATGTATTTGGCAGTTTGATTACGAGTAATTTTTCCTTATAGGGACTTGTCCACTTTAAGGAATCGGATGATTTTAAAGTCCTGCTAAATATCACAGCGCCCTCTATCGACAAAGCCTATGCAGTACACTCACAGATGGTTGCTGACAAGGGGAGACTACTCATTCAAGTGGTAAGAATTATTCAAAAGAGAAATTATAGGGCTATGATTTGGGCTAGCAGGACTAGATTAATTTTTATTCAGTGTCTGAAGTCGATATTGAATTATTCCGTGTCTTGTAATCTTTGTCCAGGTATACAACCTGAGTACTGCATAACATTATTGATAATAATATCAAAGTTTTACTTTATACACAAACAATGCACATCATAACTTGACAAAGGAACCAGTCAATAGTGCATGTATTGTTTGTAAAACTTTGATATTACTTATTTCCAAACTGATGAATATTATTGAAAATATTGATAATATTTCCCACCGTCACAAATATTATAATTGTTCAGTTTTACAAAAACAAAATCTACTGCAAAATTGAAACATTGGATTGTCGAGAGCCCTCTGTAGCACGCCCTATTAGTCCTGGTCTTACTGTAGTTTGTGTATATTCAGTATGAAGAGCCCTCTGTAGCACGCCCTATCAGTCCTGGTCTTACTATAGTTTGTGTATATTCAGTATGGAGAGCCCTCTGTAACACGCCCTATTAGTCCTGGTCTTACTGTAGTTTGTGTATATTCAGTATGGAGAGCCCTCTGTAACCCGCCCTATTAGTCCTGGTCTTTCTGTAGTTTGTGTATATTCGGTATGAAGAGCCCTCTGTAGAACGCCCTATCAGTCCTGGGCTTACTGTAGTTTGTGTATTTTCAGTATGAAGAGACCTCTGCAGCACGCCCTTTCAGTCCTGGTCTTACTATAGTTTGTGTATATTCATTATGAAGAGCCCTCTGTAGCGCGCCCTATCAGTCCTGGTCTTGCTATAGTTTGTGTATTTTTAGTATGAAGAGCACTCTCTCGCACGCCCTATGAGTCCTGGTCTTACTGTGGTTTGTGTATATTCAGTATCAAGAGCCCTCTGTAGCACACCCTTTCAGTCCTGGTCTTACTGAAGTTTGTGTATATTCAGCATGAAGAGCCCTCTGTAGCGCGCCCTATCAGTCCTGGTCTTGCTATAGTTTGTGTATTTTTAGTATGAAGAGCTCTCTGTAGCACGCCCTATCAGCCCCGGTCTTACTATAGTTTGTATATATGCAGTATGGAGAGCCCTCTGTAGCACGGCCTATTAGTCCTGGTCTTTCTGTAGTTTGTGTATATTCGGTATGAAGAGCCCTCTGTAGCGCGCCCTATCAGTCCTGGTCCTACTGTAGTTTGTGTATTTTCAGAATGAAGAGCCCTCTGCAGCGCGCCCTATTAGTCCTGGACTTACTGTAGTATGTGTATATTCAGTATGGAGAGCCCTCTGTAACCCGCCCTATTAGTCCTGGTCTTACTGAAGTTTGTGTTTATTCAGTATGAAGAGCGCTCTGTAGCACACCCTATCAGTCCTGGTCTTACTGTATTTTGTGTATATTCAGTATGAAGAGCCCTCTGCAGCACGCCCTATTAGTCCTGGTCTTACTGTAGTTTGTGTATATTCAGTATGAAGAGCCCTCTGTAGCACACCCTATCAGTCCTGGTCTTACTGAATTTTGTGTATATTCAGTATGAAGAGCCCTCTGTAGCACACCCTATCAGTCCTGGTCTTACTGTATTTTGTGTATATTCAGTATGAAGAGCCCTCTGCAGCACGCCCTATTAGTCCTGGTCTTACTGTAGTTTGTGTATATTCAGTATTAAGAGCCCTCTGTAGCACGCCCTATCAGTCCTGGTATTACTGTAGTTTGTGTATTTTCAGTATGAAGAGCCCTCTGTAGCACGCCTTATCAGTCCTGGTCTTACTGTAGTTTGTGTATATTTAGTATGAAGAGACCTCTGGAGCACGCCCTATCAGTCCTGGTCTTACTGTAGTTTGTGTATTTTCAGTATGAAGAGCCCTCTGTAGCACGCCTTATCAGTCCTGGTCTTACTGTAGTTTGTGTATATTTAGTATGAAGAGCCCTCTGTAGCACGCCCTACCAGTCCTGGTCTTACTGTAGTTTGTGGATTTTCAGTATGAAGAGCCCTCTGCAGCACGCCCTATTAGTCCTGGTCTTACTGTAGTTTGTGTATATTCAGTATTAAGAGCCCTCTGTAGCACGCCCTATCAGTCCTGGTATTACTGTAGTTTGTGTATTTTCAGTATGAAGAGCCCTCTGCAGCACGCCCTATCAGTCTTGGCTGGATATTCCTGTTGGTGGGTGTGGCTGCTTGTATGGTAGCCACCCTGGCTATTCTGTATGCAGTGTGGTGGTACTGTAGTAAAAAATACATCGACATTGAACAGGACAATCTGCGCCATGGCAACGTCATGTACAGAGTGAGGAACAGCATGCATCTGTCTGCGACACAGGGGGATGAGATGATGTTGCCCCGGGGAGACGATGACCATGACACGCTCCCTAACGACGACCCATTGAGAGGAGTACCAGAACTCCCAGAACAGGAGGAGGCAGAGGCTATGGAGATGGTGGGTTTATCATTAGCAAGACACCTTATTTACAAAAGGTTATCCGCCAGTTATCTCCCTTCGATTAGTTTTGATTGTCTTTATTTAACCATTAACACTTACCTGGTGTCATTAATCCATTTACTCTGTTATGATTGTAGTATGGAACATGGTTCTTTACATGTCACAGTAAGTTAGCCTAGTCTTAACTAGGTGTTCCACAGGACTGATCCACTTTGTCAGTGGGGTCCCAGTTTTACATTTACTGTGCTGCATCAGGTAAACATTGATTAACTACCTGTAGTGCCAGATTGTTCTTTTCATATGATGTTTATTTAGCCAAAATTTCTTGACAAATAAACCAAAGTTTTGTACTGTTACCATAGTCAATATTTACAGTAGTGTGTAGAAAAAGATTTTTTCCACGTTTCTCTACCAGTCCTCATACAGTTTGTTTAAAAATTACATATTTTGAATTTTTTGTCCATCTTGTGTTTGGCAGGAGGAACTACAAGCTACAGAAAAGCACGCAGTTGATGGAGACAATGAGTATGATTATGAAAAACGTGTTGCTAAGAAACGCCTGCAGGCTCAGACTAGAAAGCTTCACAAAGATTACTACAAGAAGGACATGTCTAGACGCAAGAGACATCCGTCCCTCAACGACCCGCCATCTTATGATGCTGTGATGGAGTATCCGAACGAGTCCAGTGATGAATCTGACGAATCCCCTGAACACGATACAAGTAATCGACGTCTGCTGCCAACTATAGAGGGTTCCGATACATCACTAGGGGATAGAACCTACCAAAACGTTTACAGGGAAGGTGCCATCACCACATTCCGAACACTGGACACTCACATTCCGGTTGCTCATTCAGATGGTGACCTCACCCTGGCAAACCTAGCCAGTCGTAGAGGGCGCAACCTTCCCCGCCTAGCTAAGGGCATGGTAACACCCCCAGTTGCTATGTCAGAGGAGATTTCTCGGCCAATTTTTCCCAGAACTGATAGTACTACTGTTAAGGGCAGTAAAGAGACTGTGGTGGCCCGTGAAGACAGCAATGCTTCTCCCTTCAGGGTAACAGCTGTCGTACACCAAACCACACCACAGTCCCCAGAACATGCTGGGTCACGCCCAGGCAGTACCACAGGGTCACGACCTAACAGTGTGACGGGGTCAAGGCCAGGTAGTGGTAAGGGGTCACGACCTGGAAGCAGCACAGGATCAAGGATCAACATTAACTCCCAGCTAAGGCCTGCTTATGCAACAATAAACCAGGCCCACCCAGTATCCACCATGGACTCTGGGATCTACACGATGGAAAAGAACCCCATGGACATCCCATTAACCAGCTTTAAGAGTCGAGGACCTCCCCCACCCATCCCTGTCAAACCCCCAGTTCTACCAACAAACAGGAATACACCAGGTAGGTGTTCATCTTATATATCTGAGGTCAAATATCAAGGTCAACTTGGACATAATAAACAAGACATGGCAAGAAATGGTTTATATGGGCTTTAATAATAATGTGTAATTTGGCTTTGATTTTTCTAATTTCAATTTTTAATTTGTGCTTTTAGTTTCAGGAGCTCGAAGTCCCCAAACTTCTGACGTACAAGACCTATACCAGTATGGCAAATTGGAGAATACTGGCAACCCATATCCTCCTTCACTAGTGACATCTGATAGTCTAACAAGCCCAGGTGGTCACCGCTTCAGTTTGATGAGTGAGAAAACATTCTCCCTTTATGGTAGCAGTGAGATCTTCGACGCTAATCAACAACAGCGTGACAAGGACTTTGACGAGGAAGATAGTGAATCCGATATTGAGGTAGAAATTCCACCACTGGGAGATTCTGACGCAGATATTCTGTCAGATGCAAGTCTACCACTTCCCAGTCCCCCAGCATTTATCAGACCTCAGGGGTCTAGTTATGCATTTGATGGAAGTCCGATCAGTCCTGCAGCCCGGAAGTTCCTGTACGGAGACAGTCTCCACGGTATCTCTGCGATGTCTCCGGGATTAGATGACTGGGATGACATGAGAGGTACATTTACAAGGACTACTAATTGCGATTGATAGTCAGAGTTAAAGTTGCTTACTTAAAAATTGCTCACAATTTCCTACAAGTTTTCTGAAAAAATATATAATGAACGCACTTTATTTTGAAATTTTGAGTTTCTGTAAAGTAATTGATTCCTGAAGTGTTAAAAAACAGTGGTAATAGTAACGGAGTAATAACTATATACATAATATATCCCTACACACAGGAAAATATACAAGTTTCTGTTTTACAAAATTTAATTAACAACTAGAAGAAAATGTTAAGGACAAGTTTCATAATTATATTTCATAATAAATGGAAACAATTTGAGGCATTTTTCTATCATATTACATAAATGAATATAAATATTCACAAAAAATTGCTTCTTTTACATTCAGCCTTGTATTAATTCTGGCTTTATAATTGAGTTTATTACATCAAGTAATACACCAGTAATGTGAAGTAGTTCTTTCTATTTGATATTGAAAAAAACATAATAATCAGTTATTCCAATCTTTTTTTATAATCAAAATCAAAGTGTTAAGAGTAATGCCTTTTTTTCATCATCAAACCTTATCAGACGGTCAGCTTTAATTGACCAATCATATTAACTGTTACAGATGGTCAACTGTAATTAACCAATATTATTACCTGTAACAGGTGGTCGACTGATAGCAGCCACTGCCTCCCCGACCAATACATTAGACAAGCACTTTGTGTTCCCACCTCCGCAGCAGTCCCAGGACTCAGGGATGTCTGACGGGCCCGACATGTCCAGCTTCATCGACAACAACGGTTCCGCCACACCCCCGCCACTTCCTCCTCCAAACCAAGTCAGTGTACTGGAAGTCACTTCGTTTTTGCGATCTATAAATTTTATTGACTTTTGTGTACAGATATTTTTTACTTCATATTTTATGTTATATAAAAGCTAAATTCACGATTGTATAACATGGATTTAATCAAAATCCTGGGGTTGCAGCTAAAGGGCAATATTTACTGGTCATTTGCATTAAGTTTAATCAAAGACCGCTTTCAGGCTGAACAAAACAAATGATTAAACTTTTAAATATTTATATTGATGTAATGCAGGACTTTCCTCGTATTTAATTAGAGGAAAGTTACCGAGATTAGGGAACATTTTAAAGTTACTTACCTTCTTCCACAGCAATCAATTAATTATAAACTGTTGACCTGACAGGCACAGAGGGCTATTTCTGACATCCAAGGTAATCACATCAGTCTACAGGCTCCACCCTCCAAGACCTATCAATCCCCGCACCGGTACTCCTATTCCAGGGAGGAAGGGCGATCCCCTCACCACCTTCACCCCGAAGGGCGGGAGTATGCAGAGCAGAACGGCCACCGGGAACGTCATCGTCAGGCATCAGGAGGGAAACCGGGCAGAGGAAGGGGTGGAAAACCTCTATTGGGGCCCAAAGTGTGAGTCCATTTCTGAGTCACCTTGGAAGATTAGAATTTGGGGTGAAAATGCAAACTGGGTTTAAAAGTTAGTAATAGCTGTAGAATAAAAGCATTTAAAGGGATAAAAACAAACTGGGTTGTAGACTTGGTAATGTCCCTTAAGAGGGAAGCTTCACATTGGGATAAAAAAGACAAACTGGAGTGAAGGCTTAGTAAACAACTTAGGAGGGAAAGCTAGGAACAGGGGTAGAAAAACACAAACATGGTTGTAGTTTGTCAGTGAGAGCTTGGAATAATTGGGAGGAAAAATATCACTGAGAATAAAGTGTATGGATAAAAGCGAGGGTTGGGAGAAGGCAGAAACCATATTTGCCCATCTTCAGGTGAGGAGCTGGCATTAAGTTACATAAAGGTTTATTTTATAGCAAGTTACACCTCTGCAATGTGAATGATGTAAAATTATTATTTTCAGGATAAAAATAAGTAACTGTAATAAAATATCTTTAAAATCTTTTAATTTCTAATGTAAGTTCTTGGTCACAATAAATAGTAAGAGGTAAATTTGAATATTCAATATTGGCAACAAAATTTTGTTTGTGTTCTAGCTTGCATCTGACAGTCCTATCTACCCTCTGCATACTGAGCTTGGCTAGTGGAGTCTATGCCAAGATGGCCGAACCTGAAACTGAGGTCTATATGACTGTGTATGCCCCACGAAATTTCCTGGCTGCCCGCCGCATCAGTGTGTACTTCAACCAGGACAAGAAAGCGGACATTGAGGAATCACCGTTCGACGTTCAACCCTATGGTAGAATGTTATTAGGGGAATGTCACTAATCTATACTCGGATAGTCTGTTAAGTTTATAGTTAACTGTATATGTTCACAGTACGAGATTTATTCATTTTATTTAACAATTCAAGTTTAATGAATCTGGAACAGTTTTCAATCGCATGTTTTTGTGATATTCCAACAAATATGCAGACAGAAAGTATTAATTCAGTATGTTTGCTATTTGCAGTTGCTTCAGACCCGATCCTGTGGCGTATGAACTCTTCACTATGTACAGGCAATAAGTGTGCCCAGGGATGCGATGAGAACACGGGACGCTGTATATGTAAGAAGGGCTACAAACTGGACAGTAAAGATGGCACTTGTAAAGGTAAACACATTCAGGTGTTAACTCAAATGTGCATTGATGGGTTTAAGCAGGGAAGTTAGATTGATGTCTGGACTCTACCTGTTTTGATAAGGGCTATAACATAATTGATTGTTATGAGGGCGGTGTAAGGCACCTGTATTGATATATTATTGGTCATGTGGTTAAAAACCAGATCTGCCTACCATTCCTTACCTAAGATATCTTTTAATATTTTAGTGCTTACCACCCCAGGGTTCCCCATTTGTTAATTCTGGAATAAGCCCAAAGAGAACCTGCCTTGTGAGACCATTTATCTGTCATTACAGTAGAACCTGTCTTGTGAGACCACCACTTCTGTCTCTACAGTAGAACCTGTCTTGTGAGACCATCACTTCTGTCAGTACAGTAGAACCGGTCTTGTGATACCAGTTCTGTCTCTACAGTAGAATCTGTCTTTTGAGACCACCCTTCTGTTACTACAGTAGAACCTGTCTTGGAAGACCACCCCTTCTGTCACTACACTAGAACCTGTCCTGTGAGACCATTCCTTCTGTCAGAACAGTAGAACCTGTCGTGTGAGACCATCACTTCTGTCTCCATAGTAGAACCTGTCTTGTGAGACCTCCTCTTCTGTCACTTCAGTAGAACCTGTCTTGTAAGACCTCCCCTTTTGTCAATACAGTAGAACCTGTCTTGTAAGACCACCCCTTCTGTCACTACACTAGAACCTGTCTTGTAAGACCTCTCCTTCTGTCAATACAGTAGAACCTGTCTTGTAAGACCACCCCTTCTGTCACTACACTAGAACCTGTCTTGTAAGATCAACCCTCATGTTACTACAGTAGAACCTGTCTTGTACAACCACTCCTTCTGTCACTACACTAGAACCTGTCTTGTACAACCACCCCTTCTGTCACTACACTAGAACCTGTCTTGTGAGACCACCCCTTCTGTCACTACACTAGAACCTGTCTTATACGACCACCCCTTCGGTCACTACACTAGAACCTGTCTTGTGAGACCACCCCTTCTGTCACTACACTAGAACCTGTCTTGAGAGACCATCACACCTTATTTGTCACTAAAGTAAAACCTCAGACATAAAACACATTTAGTGCCTAACAGAGTTATTTCCCTTTTGACATGATTTGGGAAGGTATAGTTGCTTTTAAAAAGGAAATTGGTTGTCAGTTTTTCCTGACGTTTAAACGGTGTTGTTGTTTTGTGCAGATGTGAACGAGTGCCATGAAATGACTTTCCGATGTCACAAGGATGCTGGCTGTTTGAACAGTAAGGGATCATACGACTGTCGCTGCAGTTTCCCATTTTTTGGAGATGGAAAGTTTTGTGAAGGTAGGTCATGATTGATTGAGTGACATGAAATATATCCAGCAGCAACTAAAGTGTTTAGTCCTTGATAAAGCTACATTGAATTGAAATAGGAGTAAAGCTCAAAATGGAAAATATCATGCTGTATATGTATACATAGAGTCATTTTGCAACTAAATATCTTTAAAGATTGTCATAACAGTTTTTAAAATGAAAAAATTGATGTTATCAAATAGGTATTACAGTGTTACTAACATTAATTATAGCTTAATACATTTTGAAGAGAGGTGCTAGATTTCTTATATCGGTATTCCTCTGTTGTTGAATTTAGAGGTCCAAGGATTGCGTTTTAATAGGTCTAGGATTCTTGATCTTGTCACTGTCCCTGTCTGATTGTTGTATGATCCCACCTGACAATTAACCACATAAAACTATACCTGAAATAAAATGTTTGCATGTATTTCAGAATGCACCAAGGGCTGCCCAGAAAACATGTGGGAGGTACAAGGGTGTACCAACAGACAGCCTAAGATCTGTCGAGGTACGATAGAGTATATCTGTGTAGCTGTCCCATGTCTGTTGTGTCCGTCATGTTCGTCCTGTGGAATGAATCCAAGCTCCCTGTCAAATATGTTGCATTTCTTTGTAATAAAACTTCAATTTGTGGCAAATCGACACATAATAAAACTAAACCAATTTACTACATAATTAAATGTGCAAATGTATTTTTAATAAACTAAAACAAGTGGTGAACCCTTACATGTAACAATTAACTTTTCGTAAAACTGTATTTTGTAGTGAACAATCAAATTCTTTCTATTTTTTTTGGTAATAATCTTGTATATATGGCGAACCTTCAAAGGTGATATTTCTAGTAATTTTAAGGCAGAACCATAATTTTTAATCAATTGAAAAAGATGTGATAGATTTCAAGTGTACCCCATAACAATTTTCAGATGTGATTATTTATTTTTGATGGGATAAAATCAAAATGTGAATATTTTTGTATACCAATAATGTGGCTACCTGCTTTATTCTGACAAATTATTTTGAAAAAAATATTTTTTAAATAAGACAAAATCATTTTTGCAAACCAAGGATAGTTTTTGATCAATATCCAATAAACTGGATATATATATCAGCTTAAGACTTGTTTCCAGTGCTGTACTGTTAAGTCACATGTTGTGTGTTTTATAAACATAGTTCTCATTCACATCATCTACATAAATATGTTGAACTGATTCACTTTGTCATCATTTTTACCATAAAATCATTTTGTATGAAGAGCGGTAGAATTTGTCCTTTTTTCAAAATTTGAACAATTCCTTTGGCTTTCAATCTATAAAGTTTATATAACAAACTGTGTATTGACGTCTGGGTTCAAAAGAATTGATAAAATTATAGTTTCAATAGATCCTTTTTCCATTTCTCTTAAAGAAATTTAATTTTGATATTTGTAGAAGACTTGCATGTGATAATTTTGTTTCACAATTCATTGTGACTTTACATTGACTTATATATATGTCTCAGACATTTTCGTGTGCAACAGAAGTGCCATTATAAGGTCATTGAGGTACCAGAACTAATCAATTCAATCAAAAATATATTTAATTGCAATAATATGACTTTTAAATTGTCAAAAATTCTGTTAAGTATGAGCTTTACTTTTAATACGTAAAATAATAAATGAGCTTTAAAGCATGGCAACTAGCAGGCTCCCAAAACTGTATTAGCATGGCAACACTGGGTGGGGTTTTTTTGGCAAAGTTTTCTCAAAGTAAACTGAAATACGGCTTTGGGTTATTTGTTATAAGAGTTGAAATTGTAGAATTTTATGGCAATTTCAAGTTGATCAGCTTTCACTACTGAATTGAAATTTTTGGCAATTTTCTATTGGTATTATTATTTTTAAATGTTTTTGGAAAAAGAAGATTTGCTATTTTATTTAAAAGAGGATTCTATTGCGTCTTTAAAATTTGTTTGTGACAATAAAATGATTAACCCGTAGTTAAAAAAGTGACTATAAATAGATAAAATCTATTATTTTGGGAATTCTGTTGCCTCTGACACATGATGCAGCCTGGTGAGCACCTTTATAATTTGAGCTTAACTTTTTATTTTGTTTTTGTATTTCCCTTAGCCTGCACAAAAGTGTGTGTCGATGGCTTCTACTTGCTGAGTGCCTGCCACACAAACAATGACATCACCTGTAGGAGTAAGTAACAACGGGGGGATAACTCTTGTCTCCTAAAATACAGATAACTCTTTACCACCAGAACAAATAAAGACAAGATAACTTTTATTATGATAGGAAAATAATTTCTGGCTTCTTTCATTATAGAAAGAGAGGTTACTCTTTTTATATGGCAACAGTAAGAGAAGATAGATCATGTCACCTGACAACGACAAGGGAAGATAACTGTTGTTACCCGACAACAGCAAGGGAAGATAACTTTAGTCACTTGACATAAGAAAGGGATTCCTTTGTTCCCCATGACTGATTTTCTCTCTAAGGAAATTGTTTATTTTTTCCTTGTGAGATTTTTGGATAATTTATTATGTTGGCCTTATGAAAGTATGTAAATATTTTGTGGGCTCACATTACATGTGCAGTTCTGAATTCTGTCACTTTAATGATTGGGATAATGATTTTATCCTCCAATTCCACATCATTATTACTAAATCTCTATCATGTCTCCTCTCAAAGGTTAACATATCTCACCTGTTATCTCGGAGAAATCAACTGTTAAATGATCATTTATAAATTTAAATTTACGAAAATCTTCCATTTATTGTCTTTATTTTGATGACAAAACAGGAAATTTGTTGTCAAAAATTTCTCAGGGAAAGTAATACAGTTCTCACTTTTAGCTGCCTAACGCTCTGGTTTTGCATGATCTGTTGTTCTTTGTGTATATATTTTCTTAAACTTAGAGATGTACACTCGGGTAATTAAGAAGACATTTTGATATTGGGATACCTGACATATCATATCTATATGATTAGTTAATATTGGAACATCCCATGTCAGTGGTTTGGTAGTATTGTTCTCAAGTATGTTATATAGGGGAAAGAGTTATTTTTGAAGTACAAATATGTTTTATTTTGTGAAAATATGAACATTAAGTATGTTATATAGGGGAAAGAGTTATTTTTGAAGTACAAATATGTTTTATTTTGTGAAAATATGAACATCAAGTATGTTATATAGGGGAAAGAATTATTTTTGAAGAACAAATATGTTTTATTTTGTGAAAATATGAACATTAAGTATGTTATATAGGGGAAAGAGTTATTTTTAAAGTACAAATATGTTTTATTTTGTGAAAATATGAACATTTCAAATAATTTCTGTTTTGAATTTATTATTACAATTTTAGGTGAAAAGAAACATCTAATGAACAATTGTTTTTATTTTTCCAAATTAGTTAATCATATTATGGTGCAATGTCTAGATCATCCTGTCACAAATATTTAGTAATTTGTTACTAATAGCTGACATGATGTGATCTCGGCGCTATTGATGTGTTGTACCAACATCAAGTTTATAATTAAAGATCGCAATCTACACACAAACAACATTTACCCCAAACTTAATTGGATCCATGTCTGAAACACGTTTTTGTGAAAGTTCCACTTTATAAATTATATATTTGTTACAAGCTTACTTTAACAGTGCACTAATTGATTCTTTTTCAATTGAAGAAAACAAATAATGTCAACCGCTACAGACTACTGTATGCTGGGAAATGTTCACCGCAGTTTTACCTTTTTCGCGCTTTGCAATGAGGACAAATTTATCATGACAGATATATATTACATAACAGACTTTAGCAATGAGGGCAAATTTATCATGACAGATATATATATTACATAACAGACTTTAGCAATGAGGGCAAATTTATCATGACAGTAATATATTCCATAACAGACTTTATATAATAATTTCATGTGAAGGTTTGGTTTGGTTTAATTATGTTTAACGTCCTATTAAAAGCTAAGGTCATTTAAGGACGTGTCATGTGAAGGGCAAAGGGCGAAATTTTCTCTGGGCGAATATAGATTTCACCATTGTAGGATAAATATTTGTCAGGACGAAAGTTTCTTGGTATACAGTAGTGTAGGCTCCTACACCTGTTTGTTGTATGCAGCTATCATCACACAGATTATTTGTATATTACTACATGACCTAATGTCTTCTATATGATAACAATGCGTACGTTTCAGTGTGTCACCAGAAGTGTACGGGAGGCCAGTATGAACACAAGCAGTGTACCAGGAGACAGAATCGTGAATGTCGAGGTAATTTGTCTCGGATCAACTCTGGCTTGATATTTACCAGTATTTTTACAAACACTGGCTCTTGGTTCTCTACCGTCACTAAGCTCAAGTTAAAGGTTTTCCCTACCTTGAGTTGTGTTTATTTTTATTCCCTTTATTTTAGATTTAAATTAAAGTAAAGACCCTAGGTCGCTAATTAGGTAATTTGTTTCTGATCAGTCTATATTTACCATACATTATTTCCCAATTTGAGCACCATATTTTCCATGCATTATTTCCTAATTTGAGCACCATATTTACCATACATTATTTCCCAATTTAAGCACTGCTCTGGTTTCTCTAGCATCGCTTAGCTTAAGTTAAGAGTTACCTGTAGTTTTGGTGTGGGTCAGTGTTTGTCGATCGTTAAAGCCTTGCATATATTCTCCAAACTATTCTTCAGACACTTTTCTACCTGAAAATGTAGTCATCAAATTGGATTTAAATTTAATAATGAGTGATTTGCTGTATACCACCTGTATGTTACCGACAGATCGATCAGAGCTGCGGGAGCCATTGACTAGTGAAAATGTGGTCTACGAGAACCAACTGGAGGTTACCGATGAGGAGGCCAAGATGCCATATACACCGTCTGACTTCACTGAAGTACGAAGATTCACCTTTCACAGAGGTCAGTGTCTCAAGTCAATGTCACCTTTGACTTACGAAGGTTAACTACAGAGTCTTAGAAATAAAGAACCACGTAACTCTAACTTAGTGCCTGTTTTTATACGTACAAGTTCTGTTTAGATAAAGGTTTTCTGCTTTCTTGTGTATTTATTTTTCATCCCTATAAAAATCGATTTTGATGTGATTTTCTTTCACTAAAAATTGTCTTTTGTAAAACATTGGCCGGTTAAAATGGAGGTAAATATTTCTGTTGTGTTACGAGGTCAGCTGATATTTAAGGAGCAATGCCTTTGTTTTCCTGACAGGTTCTGTATGAAATGTGTTTGTTTCTGCCTCAGGTTCTGGTTTCTACATCAAAGTGGCCATCAAACAACTCAACCCAACGTTTGTGTTTGAGCCAGTCGATCATGCTGACAACAATGACCTTAGGTCGTTCCCAGGACAACAAAGCATCACTCGCCAATATTGTCCCTATCCTGTTCCTGCTCACTACGAACTCTTTTATCTCAAACATCAGGTACGAAAAATACTGTTATTGTTAACAACTTAATTTTAACACTGCTAGATAGTGATATTTTCATTCTTATGTAAACAAATTGAACTTTGTTACATTTATAATTTTGAAATTGTTATGGAACTACGGTTTTACAAGGACAAATACAGCTGGTACAGTATGTCCAGCCAAATGATACAATCCCCTCGACTACATTAACTGACACACTGTTTCCGCTGACCAGATCATTTATCCCAATCATTTGTCGATGGTCAGTTTTAATGATTCTGTTTGTCCTGATGTTGATAGGTTTTACTGCATAATGTCACTTCATATACAGTTTGTTAGATATAGATTATACTTATTCGGTTAACACATTATCATGTACTGTGGAATATTACAGAATTACAGTTTTCAAAATTGATTCAAAAATGATGTGTATCCTGATAATTTTATATTCATTTCAAGTAAGTAATTAAGTCATACAATTTACATAACTACTGATTCAAAGAATTTCAGGAAGGAATAGTCTAAAGTGTGATACAGTTGTAAATGAATTGTGGTCGTGGCTACAGAAATGATAAATACTATATTCTAAGATGTGCTAGATGTATACCTTTCCTGATTGGTTGTTTCCTTGGTGATTACAGAACCAGAAGTACAGAACGTATATGACAAAGACTGGTACAGTTATAGAGCCATGTGATACCTACACCCGACACGGCACGTACCCTGACCTCCGTCATCACGACGCGGGCTCCATCCTGTGTTCAGAGCCAGGCCCCGTCAGTAGTGTGTACGCCATCCAGCGCGAGTTTGGCACCAGTAAAGACACTTGGGTTGAGAAATCTGAGAGGTACATAATGCAAAGAAAACATAACCCGTAGCAGTATATATAATACACCAGGTCAAATTATTAAATGTATCACTCCTCTGTAATGTAGACAAGGAAATTTCAACCTGCCGGTCTGATTTTGGAGGTTCAGCTCAAGGCTTTTTTGCAGCTCCCTTTGTATAAAGAGCCTGTAGTGCTGTGTTCAGCATAAACCTTTTTCGTGAAACAATGTCTTTAAGACCACAAGGCATAGATTCATGATATTACAAAAAACTGGAGGCCTGGTTAAAGAAACATTCAAAGTCACCATTATTTACCAAAAAGTTATCAAATGAAAATGTGTTTAACATCACAGGAATTTCATATGTCAAATATATCAATTATCTAGACTAATTTTCAGTGCAACCTTTTCAGATATGTTAAAAATGTTAATGTCTTTTCAAGAATTAAGGTATTTAATATTGGCATTAAAATTAAGAGGCCAGTGATAGAAGCCCCTTTGGCCTTTTGTTGGAAAGTAATACAAAATATAGTGTTACTGTGTAGTTGAAACTGCTTAACTGTCACTAATATAACATCGTCACTACTGTGTTGTTGAAACTGCTAAATTGTCACTAATATTACATCGTCACTACTGTGTTGTTGAAACTGCTAAACTGTCACTAATATAACATCGTCACTACTGTGTAGTTAAAACTGCTAAAATGTCACTAATATTACATCGTCACTACTGTGTTGTTAAAACTGCTAAAATGTCACTAATATTACATCGTCACTACTGTGTAGTTTAAACTGCTAAACTGTCACTTATATAACATCGTCACTACAGTGGAGCAGTAGGGAATATGAAATTGTCCGTGAACAGCCATATTTCTGTCTATTCATCGCAAACCTTGTGACCAGGATAAATACATTTGATCAGATATTGAAACATGAGGAACTGAATTTGAAAACATCTTGACAGGAGTCCAGATCACATGACATTTTAACAATTAGCTCAGTATACAGTGAAGGCACACAATGTATTTTATTATAGTCAAAGAGAGAACATTTTTTGTAGATTGATCTTCACTTTATTTCTATTCCAGTTGCCAGACTGAAAATGAGGCTTGTCTCAACTGTACAATTCGGTGTACACTTGACATGATGAAGGACCAGGGCCAGTGTGGTGTGCGAGAGTCGGACGGCGATGGCGGGTCACCACGGTTACCAACATGCTTTGCCTGCTGTATACAGCAGAATTGTACAGACACATGTCGGGATTACCATGATAGGGGATGTCAGACTGTCAGGTAGGAATAAGTCGTCAGACTGTCAGGTAGAAATAGTCGTCAGACTGTCAGGTAGGAACAAGTCGTCAGACTGTCAGGTAGGAATAAGTCGTCAGACTGTCAGGTAGAAATAGACGTCAGACTGTCGGGTAGGAACAAGTCGTCAGACTGTCAGGTAGGAATAAGTCGTCAGACTGTCAGGTAGAAATAGTCGTCAGACTGTCAGGTAGGAACAAGTCGTCAGACTGTCAGGTAGGAATAAGTCATCAGACTGTCAGGTAGAAATAGTCGTCAGACTGTCGGTTAGGAACAAGTCATCAGTCTGTCGGGTAGGAACAAGTCGTCAGTCTGTCGGGTAGGAACAAGTCGTCAGTCTGTCAGGTAGAAATAAGTCATCAGACTGTCAGGTAGGAACAAGTCGTCAGTCTGTCGGGTAGGAACAAGTCATCAGTCTGTCAGGTAGAAATAAGTCATCAGATTGTCAGGTAGGAATAAGTCGTCAGACTGTCAGGTAGGAACAATTTGTCGGACTGTCAGGTAGGAATAAGTCGTCAGACTGTCAGGTAGGAACAAGTCTTAATTCACCTAAACAACATGGTACTGTATAATATACAGAAAATGTCCTAAATGATGTTGCCATTATCACGGAAGTGAAAGGATATCACTGTTATGCCATTACAGTATTTATTTCATTAAAATCTAAAATGATTCTGTGTGTTTATCATTAATCAGCTGGATTTTTTAGCATGTTGAGGTTTTCAAATTTTTCTGTGATGTGGAGACTTTCTAGTTGATAACTCGTTTAATCCTGCTGCATTAAACATGTCTAGTGTGTCAATAGATAGCAAAGGGTATACTTTTACACTGTTTCAGTAAAAGTGAAATTATAAAATTTCCACACAGCACACATATTTTTATATTAACAATGAATTGATGTATAGATCAACAGGGTCAGCCCTTATTTTACAGATGTCAGGAAGGAAACCTGATTGAGTTCCGTCTCCGACCAGTCTACAACAATGGGGAAGACTACCTGTGTCATGTGACGCCAGTCACTCATCAGAAGCTGATCGAGTTAGAATATACCATCATGCACTTCCACAAAGAGTTATTGCGTAACAACATCAGTCTCTATGGTAACAACAACTGGATGACGACGGGCAAAACAGATCACAGGTAACTTATCCTTTAATGAAGTTCTCATTTAGAGATAATGAACCATCTGGTCACTTGGCACGAAAATGACCTTAGCTGTTAATAGGACGTTTAACAAAAGAACAACAAAACCAAACTTGGCACGTCAAGGGGGAATTCCCCTTACACTCAGTTGGTACAATGAGCGCAGTTTTATCATTCAAAAGTACAGAAGGAAAGTTCCTCTTTACATATCCCAACATCAAGGCATCTTAGATCCTGATGTGACTGGTATGCTGTCAATAGATGTGTATAATGTCCAGTATAATAAACGAACATTGGTTAAAACCAATAAATCAGTCATATGCCTGGTTTCTTACCAAGTTTGAAGGGGGAACAAATAATTAATCTTATGATGCACTTATTGTTGAAAATTGTATTTAATATGTTATGATTTGTTACTTATTTATAAATTTTGTTTCTTCATAGGGACAAGATTATTACCATACAAATTGACTCAAAGCTTGGCAAGATGCCCAATTTTGTCCAAGGCACACCAAGCACAGGGACAATGAAAGTGGGTGTGTATAAAGAGGAAGGGGCAAAGGTCAAACACGCCCACATCACTGGTTCATCAGCCCTGGCACGACCAGTGTGGCCGTTCAAAGTGACATCATCAATATTTGGTAAGCTTTACAGTTCTTCATCATTCATTGCTATGTTTGTACCATGTATGGACACACCATATAAACATCAATAAAATATTCTTGAACAGTAAGTGGAAATATTGCATCTGGAATATTTTCATGGCTTCAGCTGTATAAAATAACTTTGACGGAAATGGAGCAAAAGTCAAAGTCTAATTAAAGTCAGTGAAAAGGAAATAGATATCACAGTGCCGTATTTTAAATTGGTATTTATAGTGCTTCTCAAGATGTATCCACATGACTGTTGGACTTCTAGCAATACAGAAATAGAGCTAAATATGTCACACAGACAGACATTTTACAGACCATCAAAAAAGGCATGCACTTAATTCCACCTGTGCTTTATTGCATATTAACAAAGAAACAGACATATTAGCAATCCTAAGACATTTGATAATGTATCTTCTGTTTGAGACATCGAATAGTTCAGCTAACAGAGCTAGATGACAATCTAAGGTTTTATCCTGACAGGGAGTAAGTCATGTGAGGACGAAGCACTTGATGACCTTGTCCTGGCGACAGGGTCAGAAGACCCATACGTCCCGATTCCAGACCTGCTGGGGGTGTACGTGGGCAACATGAGCTACATCATCACCAACTTCACCACCCATCCACGTGTCCGCATCGCTGTCGACAAACACATCTCTGTCCTCAGTGTCCTCTACCCTAGCACCGAGCTCATATTTGACCGTCTCCACGGCAATATCACCCACAACTCCTCCCATTGGCTTGTTGATGTGTACGGCGCCATCAAAACGTGCCCAGGTGGGAAGATTGATTATTCAAATTAGATATCTTTATATTCCAAGTATTGCTAGCACAAACAATAAGGAAAATCGGTCAAATTTGGATTTGAAAAAAAAACAACATGTAACAAACTTTCATGACACACTTGCCTGTTTATCAGATATAAAAAAAAAAAAAGACTGAAAACAAACAAAAAGAACTGTCATATAAATAATTTCTTTATAATATACTTTAAAGCAGTTTTTGTAAAAAAAATCAATTATTTGTTTTTGAAAAATCACAATTTCTCCATTTACAGGTTTCCTGAGGTTGAACATTTCGGATGCAGACTATTCAAGTGACCCGTTGTTTCAGTATGAGCTTGGAATCAAATGCCCCAAAACGTTTAACATCTCCTTCTTTATTCCCAATGGAGACAAGCCTTACTTTGACAAAGATTTTATTGTTACAATCAAGGATCGGCTGACCACCTACCACCTCAACATCTATAAACCAAGGTCAAAGGTCATAGAGACAACAACAAAGGGTAAGATGAATTATTGGTTTAAGACTTTTCATGTCACACAAGCCAAAGGTTCGAGTGACCTTTTGTGATGTCATAAGCATTTTACACTGTTCTCTTCTGCCAAAGACGGGAATATGACAAGGTCAATATGGAAAACTTCAGCTATATCATAAGAGGCCAAAAAGTGGAGATATTATACAATTTTCAAAAATCTTCTGAAGAACTGTTAATGCTAACACCTTTGTCCTTCAATGTGTAAAAAGATCTGGACATGAAGCATAAAAGGTGTTCATGTCATATTTCTTAGACTTAAATGAGGCCACAATAAGGGACCTAAATTAATATAGGTATATAGGGAAAATGACATAAATAGCTCAATGAAATAAAACATTACAAGGTACCACAAATCCAATCCACAAGTTTCATTAGTTTTCGTGCAGACCTATTACAGGACAAGTGTCTTTGTGTTACAGAGGTGATCCGTGGTCAGCTGCTGATGCTGTCGTCCGCTGAGGATGTCACTCCACCCCACTTCTCCATCCCGTTTATCGCCTCCGTGTGTGGCGGTACACTCCTCCTTATCTTCATCGCTACCTTTGGCATCTGTGTTAAATTCAGTACGTATTATCTATCATCTGTTTAATTTGGTAACAAAATGGATTAAAAATAACCATGTAATTATTACAAAAGATTATTTCCGAGTACGAGTAAATGACAGCAGTTGAGCAGATTATATAAGAAAATCAATAAATGTCAAAATAATGTAGGTAAAGAACCAAGAGTGTAAGAAAATTAACACAGTAAGGGAAAAGAGCCAACGTCCAATAAGTGTTGAGGAAAGTTTACGCTTATCTTCTTGGTTTCAAAATGTCAAAATGTTGAAAATTAATAGCTCTGAGCTTTTAAGCTGATAACTGTAACTGACTTGCGCTCTGTTCTCTCCAGACCAGCCTCGGGTGGACGTGCTGCGGTTCCATTGGTGTCACCTTGTCCTCATGGTCGGCTACATCGTGTTCCAGTTCGTGTTCGCCGTGCTGGCCTCTATGACTGTGTTTGTCCTCATCATCATGGCAGTCAATAGGTAACGGTGATTCTCACCGATAGCACTATTATACAATAATATAATAGTAGAGTGTTTGCTTCTTAGAATATTTCATTATTGAGATACAGTGTTTTAATTGTATGTGAAAATAGGGGCCTGTTCAACCAGTTTGTCTGTTTTAAAAGTAACATTTTCGGGTATACATGTTGGCGGATCAGCAAATGTTTATGCAGGCTTTGTAAAGGCTCACCTGAAAGCAGCATCAGATTACTAGGTCCAAACTTATTTCATTAATGAACAACACTGGTATAACTAGTTCAACCGGTTCAGCCGTTTGGATCGCAATAAATGAAAGCGGCCTAGATGTTTAGGTATCACTAGTATCTTCCATTCCTTTACAAAATCAATTACAAAAAAAATGAATGTCTCAAAAATACTACTATCAACAAGCCTAGATGTATAAATGATTATCCTGAAATTCTGAGACTTAATACAAATTTTCACCAACTTCAACCTTGTATGAAGGGACACTGATTCAACATGTGTCACTTTTGTTATTTTCTCTGTGTTTCATCAGAAAAAACTGTAAATCAAATTTCAATAACTAATCTGATGTAAATCATTATTAACACTCAAAACCTCCTTTGAAGATACCTGTATACGGGGAAATTTTCGCGACGGTAAAATCCATTTTTGCCCAATGTTAAATTCGCTCTTCACATTTAATTACTATGTTTATTACACTGTTTACAAATGTTCGCTGTAATTAGAGCTGTCACGATACACTTTATCCACGATTCGATACGTATCTCGATATTTGTTCCACGATTCAATTATTTCGATTCGATACACCTTTATTTTAGAATATAAACAAAATGAGATATATAAGCCGTCGATAAATGAAAACCCACAGTGTTTCCACATTTTTAGGTCACCTGAGACAAAGTCTCAAGTGACCTATTGCGATCGCCTTTTGTCCGTCGTCGTCCGTCATCCGTCGTCCGTCCGTAAACAATTTACATTTTCGACTTCTTCTCCAAAACCCCTGAACCAATTTCAATGAAATTTTGCAGGGACCTTCCATAGACAAAGGTCAACAAAAATAGTTGCCGGTTTAGTCCTAAGCCCCCAGGGGCCTGAGGGGTGGGGCCAAAAAGGGTCGAATTGACTGAAATTTCAAAAATCTTCTCCTCCAAAACCCCTGAACCAATTTCAATGAAATTTTGCAGGGACCTTCCATAGACAAAGGTCAACAAAAATAGTTGCCGGTTTAGTCCTAAGCCCCCAGGGGCCTGAGGGGCGGGGCCAAAAAGGGTCAAATTGACTAAAATTTCAAAAATCTTCT